AACTCATGAACAAATGGAAAAATGACCTGACATTTTCCTCAAGCCAGGTTTCTCTGATGCCCGCCCACCCACCTATCCTACTGGTGGCAGGCATTTGGTTCCTGGCTGGTAGCACTGGGCAGGTTCTGACTGCTTCTTCTCAAGCTGCAGAGGAGCTGAGCTATGAGCTCTGTGCAGCCACCCTGGACTGTTAAGGTTTGTGAGAGGCTCAGCTACTGCTGGAGTGGCCATGAATCACTGAGTGAGTTCAGCTCCACAAGGAATGAGGTGGTGATGCTGCTGGAATTAGAAATGAGAAATAAATACCCTGGGTCTGGCTCTCACCCTGCTCTCAGACTTAAGTCCTGGCTCTGACACATACATGCTGTGTGACCTTGGGCTAATCAATCACTTCCCCTCTCTAAGCCTCAGTTTCCCTCTCTGCCAAATAGAGGTGATGATCCCTCCCTCTCTCCTATGAAACGGTGGGTGAGAGAGCACTCCCCTGCCTGACGCATCTGGCTCTCATGCCAGCACCTTGCAGAAACTGCTCACACCAACCCCATTCTACCGCAGAGTCCTGTGGACCCTTTCTGTAAAGTTCTTAAAGTCACTTGACCTCTGGGTCAAGTTGGATGCTGCGGAACACACTGTCCTTGAAACTCAGTGTTTCTTCTTCCTCCCCAGCTGCTTCCACTCATTTTGTTCTCTTAACCCCAGATAGAGGCACAGGAGAGTTATAAACTGAGAAGCAACATCCCTGGTTAACTCCACACATTAGGAATATCACTTTGGCCTCAGAGTAGCACACAGGTAGATGAGAGGAAAAGGTGGCATGGAATCTGAGTTCTTGGCATGGGGACTAACATGTCAAAGTCCAAGAGAGGGGCCAACAGAGAACATGGCAAGAAGAACAAAGAACCCAAAGAATCCTTCTGTGGCCACAGCACAGAGGGACCCAGGTGAGCAGGTGGGATAAGGAAAGGGATGTAGGAAGGGGCCAGATCAGAGAGGGCCTTTAAGCCGCATGTAAGAACATGGATTTCACCCCATGGCGGCGGGAATGGTTTTACAGAGGGGATGACAGTTGGGTTCGCATAAAGGAAATCGCCCGGCCACAGTGTGGAGAACGACCAATGCTAAGGAGGTCCGTTAAGAAGCTCCTGCAGTTGACCAAGCCAAAGATGGAGGCCGTGCTGAGGAGGGGTGGTGTAGACATAGTCTACAGAAATTTAGGAGGCAGATGCTGAAGACTTGGAAATTGTGTGGGTGGGTGTGAGGAAGAATACAAAAGTCAAGGGCAAGTCCTAGGATAATGTTGGGCAACTGGATGGTACGTTTTCCTGAGATGAAAAGCACAGGGAAGTTAGGACAGAGGTCAGCCAACTTTTTCTTAAAGGGCCAGAGAGTAAATATTTTAGGATTTGTAAGCCAGGTGGTCTCTGCCACAATTACTCAGCTGCTGTTGTAGCACAAAAGCAGTTATAGATGATACCTCCAAAAATGCGCTTGGTTATGCCAATAAAACTTAATTTACAAAAACAAGTGGTGGGCTGGTTTGCGGACCCATATTTTAGGACATGTCACATTGATGTGCCTACTCTGGATCCAAATGATCTTCAGGAAGCAGTTGAAGGTGTGGGTCTGAGTGCAGGAGAAAGTTCTAGGCCCAAGAGAGAATCCAGGAGCAGTCGGAGTGCGGACGGCCATCGGAGACCAGGAGAGCGGGAGAGCAGAACGTTCAGGGCCAGGTCCTGAGCAGAGGAAGAGAGTTTTAAAAGACTGGATACATGTTGTTCTGAGCAGTGGGAGGCACACCTAGGGAGGGGAGCGTCCTGGAAGTCCAGTGTGTGGCGACACGGCACAGAGGGCTGGCGTGCGTCAGGGGATATAAACGAGGGCGTCTTTTTGGCATATGGATTATTTCAAGCTACAGGCCATTGAGAACCAGCAGATGCAAGCAAAGCTCTAAAAACAGAGGTATCTTTACAATGGAAATTTCCATGTATAAAGGAAGTCTAAATTCCCATTTGTAAAAGGGGTCTCCTTCTCCCATACCAGGAAGAGGACACTCTTACCCATGGAGAAGGCAGGACTTACATCTGCACGACAAACCTCACTAAACAACACTTGTCTACCATCCCAATCACCTTCCCATAACTTGCCTTCTCCTCTCCCCCGCACCAGAATCCCCAGAAACCCTTTTCCTTTCTTTTAGCCTAAGATGGTACAGAAGCCCAAGCCCTACCCTCTCCTCTTTGCGTTACTCATTGCTGGCTGCCCCTCTGTGTCCATGAGGGAGGCATAAGGTAACAAACTTCTCTGCTTCACTCGAGTTTGTCTGTCTTTGGCTGGACTCAGTTACAGAGCCCTGGCTGGAGAACCTAAGATGGGTAAAGAAAAAGATTTTTTCCTTTATATAAACAAATGGTGACATCCCTAGTGAGAGGGGTTGGTGACAAGAGAGTGACAGAAACCAGAGTACAATAGGTTGAAGAGGGAGTTAGAGATAAGAAAAATGGAGATAATAAGATGATGAACGAGTCTCAAGAAGACCGTGGAGATGTAGAGAAGAGAAGGTGGTGGCTGCTCAGGAAGTTGGAACGTAGGGTTGTTTGTTTTTTAACGGAAGAGGTTTATTTAAATGCTGGTGGGAAGAGACAGGACCATTGAGGTTACAGGGGATGGATGCTGAATGGTGGTCCCACCGCTAAGTTATCCATGGGAACTTGGATAACTTCCTCTTCTGTAATGTGAAAGTAACAGTAGGGTCTCCCTTTAGGGATTGATGTGAGGAGCAAAAGAGAAAATGTGGGTGCATGGCTCAGTGCAGAGCGATAAGCTCTCAACAAGTGTTACTCTGGTTATTATCCTTCCCTTCCCCTCCCCCGGCTTCCAAAAGGGCAAGTTCAGACACGTAGGTCCTGAGGTCTGCAAGGCTTCCCAGTTTTTTGGACAGCCCTAATGATCTGGGAGTATCTTGAATTATTACTTTCTTCTGCTCTTCTGTAAAAGCCTACACAAATGGTGTTTTGTTTTAAAAAAATCAATAGGAATAGCAGGCACATAAGTTAGGCCTACCCCAAGGTTCTGCAGATGCACTACAGGCAGGATTTGATGGTTTCAATTGTCTTTGGCTCATTAAATTTGTGAATGGCTGCTCTTTAATTGGTCTGAGGTCAAGCCTTCCAGACCCCTTACAGACTGAGTTTTTATTGCAAGTGTGAGAAGCATCTGTGTAGTGGGTTGCATAGCCTTCCCCCCAAAATTCAAGTCTATTTTCTCTCTCAGTATGTGACCTTATTGGAAATAAGGTCTTTGCAGAAGTAATTAAGGGAAGACTCAAGATGAGATAATCCAGGATTTAGAGTGGGCCCTAAATCCAATGACTGGTGTCCTTATAAAAAGAGGTGTAGACACAGATACGCCTGCAGAGGAAAAGGTCTTCCCAAGACAGAGGAAGAGGCTGGAAGAGACAAGGAAGAATTCTTCCCTAGAACCTCAGAGGGAACATGGCCCTGCTGACACTTTGATTTCTGATGTCTGGACTCCAGGCTGTGAGGATAATTTTCTGTTATTTAAAGCCACCCTGGTTCAAGTAATATGTTATGGCAGCCCTAGAAAGCTCTTAAAGCTTGACTTCATGCTGGGTCTTGGGCAAGGAAGGAGGACACAGTGTTCATGGAGGCCGGTGTGGTGGCCCTGGCGGTGGCCTCAGGGAGCCCCTTCAGCTTCAGAATGGCAGGACGCGGCACACAGAGCAAAGCTGGGACTCAGGCGGAAACACATCTGAGACAGAGTTGGGGGGGTGGGGAGTGCTGTCCCCTGGGAAGGGCCATCGACCCCAGACTCGGGTCCTCAGTCCGAGAGGTTTTGTGTCAACTCCGAAGTGCCTGTGATTTGGCAGACATTCAAATTTACTCTTAATTTATAAATATCTTTTTAAATGCAACTCATTAGTGGTCCAGGAACTTTACTTCTAGGAGTTTATCTCAAGGAAGAATCAGGAAGTCAGATGAAGCTTTATCCGCAAGATGTTTATCATAATATTTATAATGCTGAAAAACCATAAACAGCCTAAGTGTCCAATAATGAGAAAATAGTTAGACAAATTATGGTATATCCAGAAGATTACTGAGCAGTCATTGTAAATATTTATGACGAGGGTTTAATGTTTACAAATAGCTTTTAATGATGTGGGAGAATGATAGTGATATAATGCTAAATGAGAAGAGAAAACTGGTTATAAAGTGGTACAGCATAATGCCAATCACTTAAAAAACGCATTTAAAAAACTAAAAGGAATTATCCCAAAATGTCAGAGTGGTCTCTAGTTGGAGGAATTGTGGGTGTTTAAAAAAAGAACTGCAAACCCCAAAAAGTTCTTTCTAGTTTCTATACTTTTAAAGTGACTTCCTATGTACGTGGATCACTTCCACAGTCAAGAGAAAAGTAAAAACTTAAAAAATGCTGTGTACGTGGTTTCCATTTTTATTTTCTTCAGTGGATGATTGCACATCAGCAAATCTTCAGTTATGCTAACTACTGAGGCCGGTCACGACACACACGTAGAGAGAGGTCACATGGGCTGTGCCGAGCTGGCGGTAGCATATGTACATCAAGTTACACAGGTGGAATTGTTAGGCTGGTTAAAATACACCACCAAATGATGGGACACAGTTGGGTCAGGCCACCTCCCCTGCCTGCTGCTGTTGTTTACAGAGGTCTGTGTGTTAGGCTGGTGAGTGGGGTCCTGCTGGCACTCCTCCTGGTGGCCTCTGGGGCGAGGGGAGAGCTCCTGAGTCAGCATCGGCTCTGGGGTCCCCTGTTTGTCTGCCCTTGCCTTAGTGTTGGTGCCTCCAGGGTTCTGCTACCTCTTCCGAGCCCTGGGTGTGCCCCAGCCAAGGCCCCCATCCCCTCTGCTCCACATACCTGGGGCAGCCATCTCCAGGGAAGGAAGAACCAAGAGTGAATTGTCATGCTCCTGATGTGACTCGTGCCCAGACACGGGGGGGGGGGGGAGGAAGCAGGAGATGTGACCATGACACCACGCACAAGCTCACTCTAGAGATGAGCCCTCTGTGTCTTGAAGGTACGTAGGCTGTGTGGAGCCCTCCAGGGTACAGCCCCTGGGAGAGGACAGATGGGGGGTGGGAGCTGTGCCCCCTGAGGCAGGCCTGACAGCAGAGCTAGTAAGGTGGATGGGGGATGTGTCCAACATGGTGCTAGATTGTTGAAAAGTCACAACTGTACACACCTGGGGTCGTGCCCCTCTCCAAGTCATTCGCATGGTGGGTTAGATACAGCTAGATAGAAGTGGAGATATACTTTTTTGAGGAAGGACCTTTCCTGGTGGTTGGATAAAAGGTAAGACAGACTCCTGGGTTCGGCATGCTCTGGGGAGGGCCATGCGACAGTGAGGGACTCCCTATTGCTACACTCTGTACAGGGCGGCCGGGCCCGCCCGCTGCACCCAGCCCCTGGCGGCATTCACAGGCTTGCCTTCAACCCCTTCCGCCTTTGAGAGCTCTTGGGCCCCAGTGAAATGGGGCCTATGAAGACAAGTGGATGGGAGGGCGGTCCCCATGGCCCCGGGGGTACCCCACATGAGGGCTACATGATATTGCACTGGGTGGCCCCACAGCAATCCTTGATGAGCGCCAGCCCGGTCTTGGCCACTGTGGGCTTGCTAGGTGGGGGCTCTGCTTTCTTCTCGGCTCTGGAGCCTGCAGGAAGGTAGGAGCACAAAGAAAGAAAGGGAAGAAGGGAGAGAGGGAGAAGTGAGGTAAGGAGGGCCCTGACCATCTGCAGCCCCAGTCCCACCCCACCCCCTAGCCAGACTTTGCTTTACCTCCACAGATCAGGTGATATGGAGAGCTGGCATATACTTTATATGGTCACACGGACTGTTCCCACTTCCCTGTCAGTAACCTGGCTTTCAGTCCTCAGCTTCCGGCCACAGCTTTAAACTTTATTCTGTTCAGTTCTCCTTGCCATTGTACAATATCTACCAAGACTATCACAGGGTCTGGCATTTACATTGGTGAATGTATAGATGGGAATTTTGTTCAAGTCACTTTAGTCTGAGGGCTCACATCTTTTAATTCAGGAAAATGCTCATTCAATAGCTTTTAAGATACCTCTGCCACTCATTCTCTTTTTCTTTGGAATGTGTATTAGATGTAAGTTGGGCCTTCTTATTCTATCTTCCATGTTTTATTCTGTGTCTTTCATATTTTCTATCATTTTGTCTCTGTGATTCATTCTGGGTAATTTCCTTAGCTGTGTCTTCTAATTTATGAATCCTCCCTTTGATTGTATCTCCGAAGTTAATCCATTGAGTTTTTACTTCATTGATATACTTTTTAAAAAGCTAATTGTTAAATCTACCTATTCCCTTTTCATAGCATCCTGCTCTTTCATTTTGTGTTGTCCTTCTCTTATCTCTTTAATAATTTTAAATATACTTATTGTCTCTTTTAGATAGCCTGTTATTTCTAGTTCTTGGGAAAACAGACCTTCTCTTTTCTGTTTGTTGCAACTACAGACCCCTCTCATGGTGGTTCAATTCTTCGTCGGTTTTACATTTTTATTGAGAACTTATCTTCATGGGGATTATTTTATCTGTGAACTGTACATTATGGAATGCTGAAGGGTCCATACTGAGCAATGTTGCATTTGCTTTGCTGGGGTCTCAGAGATTTCACTGGTTTTAGATCAGTTTTAATTTTTCAATTTGGGTTTCCAGCACCAGATAAGTAGTATAAATTTGGACCCCACATGTGGCCCCTTGAATGTGGTGTGGGCTTGGCATTTTGATTTTTTGCCAGGATTCTTTTTTCTGTTTTCCTAGTAAGATTTCTAGCCCCCTTCACTCTGATACCTCTGATGTCCCTGTGGCTACAGGAGTGGGCATGTGACACAGATTGGCCAATCACATCATCTCAGCCTCATGATAATAGTGACGGGCCTAGGAGGTGGGGCCATGAACCAAGAAAGGCCAGTTAGAATCGTTCCCTGAGACTTATATACTTAGATACCAGAAGAAAGAATCTGTGGTGTTGCCTTGCCACTGCCAAGTTTAGGTTCTGGAGTTCTGGCCCCATGGAAAAGACCCAGGTAGTAGGAGAAAACTGAAGCTAAGACACGAAGAGGGGCATGGATGAGAAACAGGAGGAAAGCAAGGGTTTCACAGTGTCCAGTCCCCAAAGCCCTGGTTCTTGATGCCATTCTTCCAAATCCCCTTTTTGCTAGAGACAGTTTGAATTGGGCATCCATTTTTATAACTGAGCACAACCTCACAGGATCAGCAAAGAGAAGACAGTCCCTTGACAGCAGGACCTATGCTCACCTTAATATGCTGGTGAACATGAAGGCCCTGCAGAGAGAGCCAAATGTGCAGCATTTCCCAAACTTATTTCACACAAAACCCTTTATGTTCTGAGGATCTTGTGAGGCTAATATTCTGAGAAGCATAACTCTGGCTCCACTGCCTCAGAAATTCCAAGAGCTCCCTGAGCCTCAGTTTCCACCTCTGAGCCACCCACTCCTCCTATGAAACGCACCAAACTATCTTAGAGAATGGCATCTGCTGCCAGAACTGGCTACATAGTTTGTAGAACCCAATGCAAAATGAAAATGCAAGGCCCCTTGTTCCAAAATTCTTAAGAACTTTAAGACAGCAACAGCTGAGCGTTGATGCAATCCCAGCACCCTTCCAGACACGGGTTGCACAGCGACAAAGCTGCCCCTGCCTGCCGCCATCCTGTGCACGAGTTTGATCTCTAATAAATACTTTGTTGTGCCTTCTCCAGGACCCAGACCTCTTTTCAATTTCCCTTTCTCTTGGATGGGATGAGAAGAAATCATGTATGCACTCACTGGCTGGAGATTTGGTTACTTTGTCCAGAGGTTTTAACTTGATTCTCAGGAAATCAGCCATTTCCTTGTCCTCTTCTTGCTCCCTGTAAGGACAGATGTATAAAGACAAGAGGAAAGTAGAGTAAGCAAAGAGAGCATCAAGAAACCAATGAAATGAGGCAAGAGGTTTCAGTGTGTGGAGCATGTAACAGGCTTTGTGAATGGTGTGTATACGTTGTTGCGTGTTATGTATGAATGGTACACATATAGTGGTATGTGTTATATATGTAAGTAGATACATGCATGCTGTGTGGATGGTACTTGCGTGTTGTGTTATGTGTGGGTGGAGTGCATATGTTTTCTGTGTTATATGTGTATGGTATTTGTATGTTGTGTTTGATGAACTTGCTTTGAAGCAGACACATACCAACAATGGAGTAAACGCCTACCCAGATATGGGTGAGACCCCATAGCAGAGACAAGAACATTACAGGACCCAATCTCCCTGCCAGGGGTTCAGTGAGCTGGGCAACACCTCTTCTGACCCTGTGCCTTTAAGTCACCCTGCACATGTGTGCTTCCACAAGATACATGGCAGGTCTCAGAGGCCAAGTCATCTCAGCTCTTCCAAGGGTCCTCAGGAGCAAAGGCAGTTTGCTCCTGACTGAGCTGGGCAAGGTGCATCCCAGGGGCCTGGGATGACCCAAGAAGACACAGAGAATAAAGAGGAAGTTGCCCTCTGGTACTGAAGAGGCCCGTGAGGCCATCTCCTTATGCAGGGCTCCAAAGGCTTTGCTCCAGGATAAGAATATTCAAGGATCAACATTCATGCTTCCTAAGCCCAGCCTCCTCCTGGGTCTTCAGGTGCACAATGGCTCCAGGGCCACGGTTGTCCAGATCCAGGTGGTGGGTGTGTCTGCAAATAGGAGACCCTGAAGGGGCATGGGAACCACCAATGAGAAGGGGAAAAATAGAATAATGCTGGGAAGTGAATAGGGCAGGCAAGGAAACAAGTCACTACAGGGGACAGAGTTGCTATAGAAGCCAGCAGAAGTTTCTAGAAGTTGCCTTGATGACTTGAAAGAAAGTTCAGTGAAGAGAGTGTGTAGGAAGCACCGTTGTGGGTTATTTTCCCCTGCTCGCTTCCTGGAATGATGTTCAATGGAGGTCCACTGTTCGTAAGACTTCGTAAGCTGGATTTGAGTTTCTTCTGAATGTGAAATGGATTCTCAGGCCAGAAGGCTGGGTTCATTTGGGCCCAGTGTTTGGGGACCATTTGGTGAGGCCATGACTGTTAGGCAAGGCTGTGAGTCCCAGGAGCAGATGATGGGTTTGGAAGGAGGCTGAAGGCTGTGCTTCAACAGGCTAGTACATGGGGACACACTGCCCACTCACCTTAACCGCTCGACCTCTGCGTCATCCACCAGAAAGTCTCTCTTCTGCACCAGTCTGTGTATCTTCTGGATAAGCTCATCCTCTCTCTGCTTCTGCAGCTTGGTTTTTTCTTTTTCTGGGAAGAAGGAAACATCAGCAAAGAAAAATTGCCTGAAACTGTTGAAAGGACTTGAGTTCAAGGGGCCAGGGTTGGAATCCTGGCCCTACCATTTTACTATCTTGGTGAACTTGGAGAAGCAATTTGACCTCCTTGAGCTTCAGTTTCTTCCTCTGTAAAGTACAACCAGTGAGGCTTAAATGCAGGGATGTTAGTAAATGGCAGCACAAAGCTCAGATGTGGTGAATGCTCAGTAAACAGTAATAATGCAGTAAAGGGGTCCTGCCGACGAAGGCAGAGGGTGAGAAGGGCTCAGTGGGGCTGCTGGGAGGGAAATACTCCATGGCGAGGGCAAAACCAATCTGTCAGATGAAAAGCTTTCATGCTGATGGCATCAGACCTGTCTCAGGTACCAAGGGTTAGAATGTCCAAGAGAAAACAAAAGACCCAGGGCTGGGAATGAGGACTGAGAAAACTAGGAGGGCAGACACATAAACCCACTTCAGCTCCCTCTGCTCAGACGATAAAAACACAGGCAGCTTGTCTGCCTGCCTGCCTGCCTGCCTAGGACAGGCGCTGACAATTTCCTCTAGGTTTAGAGAAAAAAATCAAAGGTGAAGGGAATATCATCATTAGATAAGAGAGAAAATTGACTTCTCCCATTAATCAGAAGGGGAAGTGGAGAAGGGGGTGGAATTTCTAGCAACCTCCGGATCTCTGGCCATTGCTACTCTAACAACAGAAGCATCACTCTTCCCACAGTGGATCCTATGGATTCTCCAAATCACTCGTCAGCAATGCAGAGTGTCTCCCAGCCCGAAGCAGGTAAGTTAACAGCACCCACAGCCCCGCCAGAGGACCCTGCTTGCTCAGCTCTCTCAGGGGGTCTGTAATGACTTGTAGGTCCCCAAGGAAATGACAAACCTCCCTTCCCAAGATAGTTGCCCTGTTTTCTATCTCCTTCCAGTTTTCAGGCATCCCCCAGCCTCCCAGACACTCAGCTGCAGCCCTCCACGGGTACAACCGCTCCCAGCAACTCATGGCAGAAGGCTCCTACTCAAAGTGGTTTGTGCTAGCTTACATACCAGCTACTCACCCAAGTCTCCACCCCACTGGCCAATGCAGTTCACCTGTGTGTATGTGTCATATACCCTTCCTGCCAGTATCCCCTACCTGCCTGCAGGCACCACTCACCTGCTTCCAGGCACCTGCCTCCAGGCCCCATCCACCTGCTCATTGGCATCACCTACCTGCCCACATGCCCCACTGACCTTACCTACCTGCAGGCACTACCACTTGATTGGTGATGTGACCTTTTTCTTTCCAACATTACCCACCTACATCGGGAACCATCAGCTTACCGACTTTACCCACTGCTTGCTGGCATCACACAGCTGATTCCTACCATCCTTGCCAGTGTGACCCTCTACCTTGCTGCTCATCCCCACCAGCACACCTCATTAGCCCCCGCCACCGCCCCCCTCCCTGAACCACATCGTGGCCTCCAAACTAGTTTCCCTGGGCTGTAGTCCCTATCACAACTGTGAGCCCTCCCTGTAGAACTGACGCCCAAGTTGCTACCCCTCCTAGCTGTGTGACTGTGGGCACAAATGCTTAAGTGCCCACCAGTTTAACTATTTACTGAACCAGGTACAAACAAAAACCCCAAATACCTATTTAATGAAGGTAAAGCAAATCATACAACATAAATGTGCAATGGTAAGTGCTGAATAAATTAAAATCTATTATATTCTCATGAGCTTTTTGTTTTCATTTCATCTTGCTTTCTCAATTTTGACACTATTGATATTTGTGCTGGATAATTCTTTATTGTGGGAGCTGTCCTGTGCATCGTAGGATGTTCAGCAGCACCCTGGCCTCCACCCGCTCATGCCAGAAGCACTTCCTCCCCCAGGAGTGACAGCCAAAACTGTCAGCAGATTGTCCAATGCCCCTTGGGGAGCAAAACTGCTCCTGGAATCACCGGTTTAAACCTCCCCGATAACACTGAGAGGTAGATACCATCTCTATGTCGGGGGAAGGTGACAAGGCCTCTACAGCCAGCTTTAAGATAGCAGTGGTGACAGTTGTGTGGGTGGGGGGGGGGGGCAGTGAGGCATCTTGGCTGGTCTTTAAGAAGCCCTCAAGTCAGGGAGGGTCCTACGTGTTCTTTCCCATCCCAGACCTGGTACATTAGTTTTTGACCTTGGCTGGTGAAACATGATTTTCTTGCCCATTCAGTGCTCTCTTTCCTTAATCTTTTTATTGCTGTGCTGCCTGAGCATCATTTTTTTTTTCTAGCTAAATTCAGTACCAGTCCAGGGAATAGCCAGAAGACTCTTAACAATCGAGTCGAGTCGGGGAAGAAGGTGAGGAGAGGTGAAGAGGAATGCAAGAGAGGAAGGAAAACATTAATACCTGAGTTTCCACATAAAAGTGACTAGGACAATGCAATTTCCTGGGGAATCAATGGGGCTGGGACTGCTGTTAGGCACTAGGCTCTGTTGCCAGCTGGCCCTAGGACCTGTGTGACCCACGTTTCCAGCAGGGCAGCCCGTGGCATTTCGGTAGGAACACGGTCTTTACATGGAACTGCCTGCCCCCCATGCTGCGAGTTTCAGCATCCCTGGCCTCTACCCACCGAGTATCAGGACTGAGTTCCTCTGCATTGAAATGTTTGGTGTTTTCTTTATTGTGGATTTTTTGGCATTAATTTGATATCTTAATATTGCCTTAAAACATTATTTATCCTGATTACTGAAATGTTTGTGCTCCAGCAGAGTGCCTTGTTTTCCTTACCCTAGTCTGGGTCCTGGTGAGTCATACACCACAGTGACCGTGGCAACAAAGGAATGTTGCCGCCCAGCCCTGCCCCCACCCACTTCCACATGTGCTCTAGAGGCTACGGTGGCCCCAAATGGAGGTGGCTCAGGTGGCCTTGGCTGCCCTGGTGACCACACATTCACATCTCCTTTGCCTTGGTGGCTTCCACACGTCCTGATGAGTGAACAATGGGCTCTGGGAATTCTTCCTCCTAAGAGGGAGATGCCAACCCATGTGGGGCCTGTTAGAGTCTCCTGGGAAGTTGGAGGCCCTGGGAATTTGGGCTCTCATGTGGGAAGATCATGAAGAGATGGAGTGGGCTTGCTTGGCTCATATGCTAGAGCAAGAAAATGGAACAAGCACCCAAATGAGAGAGAGACGGGGAGGGGAGGGGGCCAAGGGGAGAAGAAGAGGGAGAGGGAGAGGAAGAGGGAGAAAAGGAGAAAGAGGAGAAGGGAAGGAGGGAGGAGGGACCAAAGGAGAGAGGGAGAAGGGGAGGAGGGAAAGAGAGAGAGACCCAAAAACATTCCAACAGCTTTCCTTTTCTGGTTCCAGACTCTTGTGAGGTTGGGCAGAGCTTCATGCCTGTGTTGGGATAAACCGTGTTACCCACCACCTCCCCAAATGTTATGTCTGCCCTATTTGGAAATAGGATCTTTGCAGGGGACCTTAGTTAAGATGAGGCCACACTCATGAGGGTGGGCCCTTAATGCAATGACTGGTGTCCTTATAAGAAGAGAGGACACACAGAGGCTTACACAAAGGAGGCCATGATGGCAGAGGCAGAGATTGGAGTGAGCCTTCTACAAGACAAGGAACCCAAGGATTGCCAGGAGCCCCAGAAACTGGAAGAGGCAAGAAAGGATTCTTCCTCTAGGGGCCAACGCTTTGATTTAGGAGTCCAGGCCTGCTGAACTGTGAAAGAATCCATTTCTGTTGTTCAAAGCCACTAGATATGTGGGAACTGGTGGTGGCGGTCCAAGGACACTAACACAATGCCCTGGGCTGCAGGGGTCTCCGCTGTCCTTGCAGCAACTGCCTGTTTCTCGTTCGTGCTTACCTCAGCCTGCAGGAGTTGTGTACCCTTCAGCCATGTACCCCAGGTGGGGAGGGCGGAGCCTATAAAAGGAGAAACTTGAACTGGCTTGGTGCCTCTCAATCCTGGCTGCTCCTCACAATCATAAGAAGGTTTTTTAAATGACCAGTGCCAGAGCCCCACATGAACTGAATCAGAATTTCAAATGTGTAGTGTCTGGATTTGCCTATATTTTCCCCTCATTCTTTCAGTTCAACATTTTCCTTTCTGTAGTGATAGTCTCACTGAGATAGAACTCACATAGCATACAATTCACCCTTTCAAAGTGTTATTCAGTTATGCAACCACCACCACAACTAATTGTAGGACATTTTAATCACTTCCAAAAGAAACCTCAGACCCATTCCCTGTCGTCACCCGCTCTCACTGAGGACTGTGCACTCGCTCACATTCCCAGGCCCGGGCCTGCAGAGGGCGCAAGGCCTAATGTATGCTCATCACAGCAGTGGTATCTGAAAGTTCCGCTCTGGTTGCCACACCACCATCAAAACAAGAATGTGCTGAATGTTTCTATTTTTTGTGTTTGTGATCCCGTGTTACGTCATGGTGTTATTAGTCACAATGACCATGAGAGGGTGGCAGTATTGGCTTTATTTTACAGACAAGGAATTTAAAGCTTAGAGAAATTAAGTTGCTCTGTGAAGATCATCTAGCTGGCCATCCCGGATTCAAACCCAGGTCACTGGACTCTAAAGTAGTGCTTCTTAGGCAGGGGACAATATGCCCACCCCAGCCCCACTACAGACCAGGAAATATATGGCAACATCTGGAGACATTTTGGGTTGTCACAACTGGAAGAGAGGGGAATTCTACAGACATATCGTGGGCAGAGGCCCAGGGATGATGCTAAATTCTGTAATGCACAGGGAGGCTCCTGTCCCAACAGAGAATTAGCCAGCACCTAGTGTCCCTATTGCTGAAGCATTAAGAGCAATGCCCTGTTCTAAAGTGTGTTGTGTTGCACTTTTAGCTCAATAAAATGTATCCACTGGATGTCAGGCCATCTCTTTCTACTAACCTGTGAGCTCCTTAAATTAGGGAATCATTTTCTGTTCACCACCGCATGCCTATCACCAGCAGCAATGGAGCCTCTTGAGGTATACTTAGTGAACCGATAGACTGGCAAAAGCATTCGAGTAAAGGACAGTGAGGGCGTGCCATGTGGTCTGTGCCTTTCCTTGCCAAAGCCGGGGCAAGATTCCAGAGGCAGACGGGTGTTTGTTCCTTCAATTCACTTTCCTCTCAGCACCCGTCAGGCCCTCATCTCTGCCCCCAAGGACCAAGAAGTTTTTGGAGGGATATGTATGAGTCAACAGGCAATTATTTGATAAGTACTTTGATAAGAATAACTCCCGGGAGGGCACCTAACCCAGCCTGGATGGGGAGGGAAGGCTTTCTTGGGAGAAGGGGTGACCTGAAGGATAGGTAGAAATTTGTTTGTTTAGTAATAATAATTTATTAAGCCCTTACTGTAGGATGGGAAATATGCTAAGCACTCTATGTTTTTTTTTCCCATTTGTTAATCCCACAACCCTATGAGGTAAATACCACTATTATCCCAGTTTACAGATGAAGAAATTAAATTTTAGTAGTGACTTAACTTGCCCAAGGTCATGGCATTGTTAAGTGACAGGCCTAGGTTTGACTCCACAGTCAGCTTGTAACCACCATGCTCTACCTGTTCCCAAGCAGGATAATAACAGTGGCCATTGCTGATACTTACTGGACTTTTACTTTGGACCAGATATCAAGCTAAGCACATGGCTTGCATTGTTTCATTTACCACAAGGAGATTTATACCCAATGAGCTAGGTACTTTTACTATTACCACCCCATTTTCAGTGGAGAAACTGAGCCTCAGTAGAGATAAAGTGACTTGCCCAAGGTCAAGGAATTGAGACTTGAACCCAGGTCTGCCTGACACAGAATTGTGTTTGGATCATGTGATCAGGGAGCACCGGTTTGCAAGAATGAGGTCATGCTAGCAGAGCAGATGAGCACTGTCTTCCCTGAGGACAGGTGAGGCAGGCTGGGGGCTCTGAGCAGCTGGAGTCTCAGATGGTTACCTGGGATGGCGACCAAGTTCTGCAGCTCCTGCTTCAGGTCCATGATGTCATTGCACAGCTGAATGTCATCCATCCTGGGGAAACAGGACACCGCACCACAGCAGGTTACGTCTGAAAACATTCTCCACCCTGAGCATGACCCCGATAGCAACAAAGAATCTGCAGGAGGGGATTGGCCTTTGTAAAAGCCACACATGCTCTTAATAGAAGTTTTCCCCCAAAAGAAGAAAAATGAAGGTTGCCTCTTACCTCATTACTTATTATAGCACCTTGATGGTGTTCCTCCCAGTCTTTGTGTGCCTAGCTTTTGTTTGCTTGTAAGAGCAAGCTCATGTGCCAGATTCAGTGTACTCTTTTATTAGCTTGTTGTTAAAATTTTTAAACATTATAGAAATTCACAGCATAGAGAAAATCTCTATTCTTTAGAGATAACTATTTTCAACAGTTTAGTACCTGTTCCTCCAGATTTTAAAAAGTGTTTATGCTTCTACTATCATATATCATGTCATTGTTCTTTTACAAAAACATTCTGCAATTTTTTTAACTTAATGATATATCATGGGCATCTTTCCACATCTGTACATGCAAATCTGCTCATTTGTAATGGCTGTGTACTATTACATTGTGTTGATATACAGTGATTTACTTAAATATTCCCATATTCATAGGCATTTGGGTTGTTTCCTGATACATTTTAGGAAAAATTCCTAGAAAAAGAAATTCCTAGAAATGTAATTGCTGGTTAAGTAACATGAACATGTGCATTTTAATAGCAATTTCCAAATTGCCCATCAACAGTGTGAGAGGATGTTCAATCCCATAATCCCGGTAATTGGGTTGCATGTACAATTTTGTGTATGTACTATAGTTTTGCATGTGTCTGCTACAATATTAACTCATCTTACTATAAACAATATTTGCAATGGCTGCCTGGAATTTCACCGATTGATTTATCAAGTCTGTTTTCATTATGCCTGTATCTTAATTATTTGGGTGGGTTTTTCAGGTTGTTTGCACTATTTTTACAGTCACTGTAAAATAGGTCAGTTTTTCAGGCTATTTGCACTATTTTTACAGCCACTGTAGGATGAACATGGATTCATGTAAGGCTTCTTCTTCATGTTGGATCATTTGGTGTGGGGGCTATAGAATCTGAGTACAAAGGGCTTGGCATGTCTACGACAATTGAGGCATATTATCGGATTGCCTCCCCTTGAGTGGGGTGTGTGCCTTCATTCCATATGTCTTTCTTGAGCATTTACTATGTTCACCACTGTACGGGCTCCAGGGATAGAGTAGCCTCTCCTGCTCACATGAGCTGGAATTTCGGCAGAGAAGACAGCAGGTGAACACAAATATAATAAAACATTGGACGTTATGAAAGAGAATAAAGCAAGAGAGGGGATGGAGTGAGCCAATTTGGACACAGCATCCTACTGTCCCAGGGAGAGACAGAGGGAAGCATTAATATTCTCAAAGGGCTCAACTCTGTCCACACAGCGTATGAGGGTGGGACCAGGGACAGAAATCAACTCATCTGAGTCCATCAATCTGCCTTCTTCCACAGTGTCTTTGCCAAGAACCTGGTCTGTTGCCTCTCTATTAAGAAGTGTCATCTACAGACCAGCTTGAGGCCCCTTGCCCTTTGTGGGTCAAGAATTGCCCATGTTACCTATTCTAATCCCAGCATCCTAGCTTTTAGGACAAGAAGCAGGAACATCTCACTTGCCAGAGGCACGACAACCATTTGTCAAGCCCTGTCCTGGAATGTCCTAGCAGGTGGCAGCTGCCTCGAATGAGCTTGGAGAATTGCCAGAAGGGTACAAACTGTTCCCATGGGTTCCTATCAGTGATTGTCCAACTGGTTGAGCTCCCAGACCCTTTCCCACAGCTAGCATGCAGATCAGGCTACATCCGTGCTCTTAATGAGGACAATTTTGGTCCCTGGGGATGTTTGACAATGTCTGGAGACATATTCGGTTATTACAATGGATGTGTGTGGAGATTCCTTCAGGCATCTAGTGGGTAAAGTCCAGGGATGCTGCTCAGCACCCTACAATGAGCAGGACAGCCCCCTCAAATATCCCATCCAAAAAGTCAATCATGCTAAAGTTAAGAAATCTGGGGTTGTGACCATGGAATCGACACAGGTCCTAACTGATAATTTTTGAGAGATGAGAGAAGAAAAGATGGCAAAAGGAACAAAAGAGAGATGGTCTGGCTGGTGTGACTCAGTACATTGAATGCTGGCTTTCGAACCAAAGGGTTGCCAATTCAATTCCCAGTCAAGGCACATGCCTGGCTTACAGGCCAGGTCCCTAGTAGGGGGCGTGTGAGAGGCAACCTCACATGGATGTTTCTCTGTCTTTCTCCCTCCCTTCCTTTCTAACAATAAACAAATAAAAATCTTTAAATTAAAAATAAAGAGACAAGCAGTAGTTAGAAGCAAGAGTACTGACACCCAACAGCTGTAGTTCAAAGGGTCCATGTGCCAGTAATTTAACATCTCTGAATCTCTTTCCTTATCTATAAAATAGGAATTATAATAGTACTTATTCTAGGATGATCGTGCATGTCAAACACTGAGTATGTGCCTGGTACATACACAGTAAAATGTTTCGTAAATGGTACCTATTATTATCATTTACTGTTAGAAAGAAACAGGGAGAAAAAGAGAGAAAAATGCTACAGGACAAGCAGCTTATTTGACAAGTGGAACTAACATGTTCAACCTTTTAAAAAAAGCTTTGATTATATTTCTTTATAAAAATTTTTAATTATTTTATCCTTGTTCAAGTACAGTTGTCCGAATTTACCCCCCACCATTCTTATCTGATTGTAGAACAGATCCCTGATTGCTATAGAAATTTGAGAAAATACAAACAAATACAAAGAAAGAACCTAAACTTATGCATAACCTTGACTGCATGCACCCAGGTGTCACTGTTCCACTCCAAGTGTTTTGGTGTATTTCACACCAATTTTTTCATACATGTAACCCTGGTGTAACAGACTTGCTCTGGCTGGCCTCAGTCCTCACCCTCTGTCCATCTCAGAACTGCACTGAGCATGATTCTGAGTCCTCCCAAACACATCCGAATCCACCACACATTAACAAGCAAAATGAGATCCTGAGGTTCTCACGGGGAGTCATGCTGCAGAACACCATAAAAATCCCTATTAGATGGCACTGCGGTTTTCCTCAGGTCTTGCTGCCAGCTTCCCATCTTTTTTCTTTCTCTTCCTCTTCCAAATGCCTCACAGTCAAAGTAGGATCCTTTGTGGTCTTTGACTTACAAACCTCAGCTGGCAAAAGCAAATCCTAGTGTTGCTGCACATCCTCCCAGGGAAGAAGCTTGTTCCCCCGACCCTGATCCCCCACACACTCTGTCTATCAGAGTATTCACCTAATAAAAAAATCAGGGTTTATTTTTTTTAATATGGAGGGATGGGTTCCACCACTAAGGGAAGTAAAAAATCAACAAATAAAAGTTAAGCAATGTGCACAAAGTCCCACACTGATAAGTGGATGTTGGGAGTTAGCCCACGTTTGTGTTCTTGACTACTTCACTATGGTGTCTCCTCTCCATGTGGCTGTATGAGTTGCCACTGACATGGTTGGTTGCCCACAGAACTGACCTCCCTCCTCTGCCTTCCTCCAGAGCCCTGATTTGTTTAGGAGGCAATGTCTCCAGCTCCTGATGGAAGCCAGTTATCTTAGTCTGTTTAGGATGCTATAATAAAAATACCATATATCAGGTGGCTAAACGGCAAACATTGATATCTCAGATCTGAAGGGCTGGGGAGTCCAAGATCAAGACGTCAGCTGATTTGACTCCTGGTGAGGACTCACTTCCTGATTTGAAGATAACTGCCTTCTTGGTATATCCTCACATGGTGGAGAAGGAGCTCTCTCTTGCCTTTTCCATAAGGACACTAATCTCACTCATGAGGGCTTTACCCTCATGGCCTATCACCTCTCAAAGGCCCCACTTCTTAATACCATCCCACTGGAGATTAGGGCTTCAACATACGAATTTGGAGGGAGGGGAGACACTTTTAGTTTATAGCACCACTCATGGCAATCCCATTTGCCTTTGCTGGACAGACACTCTTCAAAGCTCCTTTGCAGGTAAAGGTAGCCATGAAACTCACTTTGGGTAATGGGATGGGCCAATGGGTCTGCTAGGAAGGTTTCTGTGAAAGGTGATTAGAGTCTTAGGTGCTACCCCTCATGGTCCTGAAGCTGTTGCAGGCACTGCTGAGGATGGCATGAGGGAATGAGGAAAGAGCTGCTGCCTGATGACACCATGCTGGCCCCTCAGACCACTTGCATCTGGACTTCCCACGTGAACATTACATGTCCTTATGATTTAAGTAGAGTGGCCAACCATCTTGGTTCTCCTGGGCCTATCCCAGTTTTAGCATGGACAGTTCCGTGTCCTGGAAAGCCCCTGAGTCTTAGGCAAACTGGAACAGTCGGTCACTGAAGATTTCAGACACTATTAAGCATTCACTGCAGTGCTATTTCCAATAGCCAAGATCTGGAAGCAACCTAAATGCCCATCAACAGATGGGTGGATAAAAAGTCTGTGGTACATACATACAATGGAGTATTACTTGGCCATTAAAAGAATAAAATCTTACCTTTTGTGTCAGCATAGATGGACCTAGAAGGCATTTATAAAGAATCGTCTAACCAATATGCTATACACCTAAAACTAATACAAAATATTAAATGTAAACTGTAATTTTAAAAATGTTTAAAAAGGCACTATTAATCAGATGTTCTGTTACTTGCAGCTGAAGACATGCTCACTGATAAGTGTATGTGAATATGTGCATTTTTAATAAAAGGTCAAAACATACACACATATGCCCTGCTCCTTGTGAGCATCACACCATGACAATTTTCCAATGCTATTAAATACACTGAAATAGTTCATGCAAAGTATTTTCAAAGCTTGGTGGGAACTTTTGAATAAACCACGTTAATCGTTCTCGGCACAATTAACATTCTCGGCTGCCAGTTTGTTCCACAGAGAGAGATGTCATCTCCAAGAAACTGATCACT